AGATTTCCATAAAGCCGAGACTTTTCATGCCAGCTTCATCACTACTAAATAATTTCGACAAAATACGAGTAATTCTAATAATCTCTTTGAGCAGGTGATTTTAAGGGAGGTGTTGACTTTACGTAACTATAATGATACTGGTGGGCCCAAGTCAACAGCTGCATCTAGAAGCTTCGGCCTTACCATTTGTTTCCATCCAGACATTCTCAGCTAATCACCATCATTCAGAAGACAGAAGATAAAACTTCTTTATATTTGAAGTAGGCAGTGTGCTATCTCATGTTAATACTACTTGAGAAATCGCACGTACCACATCAAATGAGATTGTGCTCTTAGAAAGAATACATTCTGTGGGTTATATCCCAAAAGCCGGAATGATTACTCATTTATTTTATAGCTGAATGTGTTCTTATTCTTTAAATATGTGTGCCCCACCGCACCAATCTCCTAATTCTAGTTAATAAATAACCTTTTCCAGTGTTCATGTACTTTGTGAGATGCAGTGGTTCACATGTACACACGAACACGCTCTGTGCATGGAGAGGAACCTCGGGAGAGTTTCTGTTTGGTGTCTTTGTGTCTTTCCTCCCAGTCAGTTCCTCATCAGCAGCCTCTGGAGCTGTTACTCCGACCTCCACTGCTTTCCTCTCGGCCTCCAGCTTCCTGCGTCCATCAGACCCTGAGATTTCTTTATACTGCTGGGCCCCCCAAAAAAGAAAGTGAGGTTTCTCCCACACTTCCAACCCAGAATCAACTCAGGAAACCTCACAAGGCCACCGCTGCCTAAGTCCCCTGAGACTCTGTGGGACACCACCGGCAAGGACGTGATGAGAAAAAGAAGTTTTATCTCTGGCCAACAGGGAGGTGAAGTTCGAGGGAATTTTTTGAAGAAACTGTCAGTTCCTGTTGGTAGCGTGACTTTCCCTTAGAGAGATGCCACCCAGGGGTCCGGGAGCAGTAGCATGAATTCGGTTGGTCTGACTGTCGCCAGCATCAGAGAAACTAAGAAGGGAAAGACAAGTCTACTCTAGACACTGACAGGTGTGTTCTGTTCACAAAGAAATAAAATTATTTCTTTGTGAACAGAGAGAAAGTTGTTCGATTTGCTGTTTAAATAAATCTGTCACTACCTGACATTAGTTTGCAAACGTTTTTGAAACATGGAGGTGTTTTTCAGCTGATGGAGCCCCTAAGTGTCACAAAGTTGACACGATTGCTCCTCCCGTGGACCCCTGGACCCCGGAGCTGGGTTTGGAATCTGCTCTGTGGAAAGCCGATGGGGGAATCCGGCGCTTTTCCATTTTCGAAAAGTTTGGTGACATCTTAAATAGTTCAGTGTAAATTTACCATGTCACATAATCTAGCAATTCCACTCCTAGGGATCTGCCCAAGAGAAATGAAAATATATGTCCCCACAAAGACTCGTATGCGAATGGTCATAGCAGGTTATTCATAACAACTGCTGTCTAGAATAATCCAATGGCCCCAAAGTGACGAACGAATAAAGGCGGTGTGTCCTACATTGGAATATTATTTAGCCATTAAAATAAGTGAAATGCTGAAATTTGCTACAATATGGATGGACCTCAAAAACATTTTACTGAGTGAAAAATGCCAGACACAAAAGGTTATAAATATATATATAAATGTTTATATATATATATAGGAATATATATTTCATTTATATGAATCTAGAAAAGGCAAAGTCATAGATAGAAAGCAGACTCGTGGTTTCCCAGGCCTAGACATGAAAACATGAAATAACTGCAAATGGATGTGAGGAAATGTTTTGGGATGAGAGAACTTTTCTAAAACTGGATCGTGGCGATAATTGCACAGCTCTGTAAATTCATTAAAATCGCTTAATCATGCATTAATAATGGGGGAATTTTATAGAATATAAATTCTACCTCATAAGGTGGTTAAATAGTTTAAATAAGGCATGTAGCATAACTAAATAATCAGTACTTCTTTTCTCTGCAAAAGAAGTAGACGCTGTGGCCTTCAGACTCTAAAAGTTCCCGAGACCTTCTCAGGGACTCCTCCAGCTGATTTTCCTAGTAATAACTAAGAAACGCTTTGCCTTTTTTGCTGTGTTGACATTTGCGCTGATGGTGCAAAAGTGAGGGAAGAAAAGCCGCTCACCCTTTAGCACAGATCCAGGCAGCGCCACCAGACCCCATCAGCAGTCACTTATTTCCACCTCCATGCACTCATCGTGGAAGGATGCGTTCCATTTCCACTTAAGAATGTCCTTTATGAAACGGTAAAAATTACTTAATTTTATTAAATCCTGCACGTTGGATGCGTATTTTTTTTATAGTCTACGTGATGAAATGGGAAATAGACAAAGTATTTCTTCAGACTTGGGTATTCGGCAAAACTTTTCTCAAAGATGAATGAAGAGAACTTGTCACTTCAAAGGAAACAATTGGCAGTATTTGTTGCCAGTCATAAAATTCAGACTTTAAACCAAAAGTAGAATTTTGGAAAACTTTATACCACCATGAGTTTGACAGCTTCTGTCCCAATTTTTCTGATGAGATTGATGGTGATTTTAATAAATATGGTTTTTTCATATTGTAGAATGAAATGTATTAAAATTTGGAGACTATAGCAAAGAGATCTTGATACTAAAAAGTTTGAGAACTGCTGGCCTCGTGGCTAATAGCATGGACTCTGGGGCCATTCTGCATGGGTTCAGATCCTAACACTGTCACTTAGGTGTATGATCTCAGGTAAGTGCTTCGCCTCTCTGTGCCCCAGCTTCCTCATCTATAAAAATGGTGCTAATAATGGTACCTATCTCAGAGAGGTGTTGTGGGCATAAAAATGAGTTGATATATGTAAATATTTATGAACATTAAAAGGAGTTCATGTCTGTCAATCACTTAAAATAGTGCCTGACATAGTAAGTGCTCAGTGAGTCGTTATTATTGACTTTGGTGAGCGGTGATTTGTAAAAACAAATACATTATAAATATATAAGGGATAGAAAGCTCTATGTAATTTGATGTACTTTATTTTTCTCTGAAGTCTGAAGCCGCATTTCCTCCCTTTGCCTCCCTCCCACCTTTGGCCCTCACACTTCCCAGAAGTGCATACCTGTGTGTGCTGACCTGAGGGGTCACCTGTTGTCTCACCTGAATAGGAGGGCTCTGCTCATCCATTGAGTTTCTGTTATTTGCGGGAAATTCCTTCTTTGCTTAGCAACCATACGATGTGTTTTGAAGGAAGATTTGGCGAGGCAGTGTAATTATGAAGGGTACAGTTTAATAAATTGAATATAACCCATACCGTTGTATGTCATCTGTATCCTTAAAATTAGAAGCCACTTACCTGATCCAGCAATGTTTGAAATTGCAATGTGTCATTTAGTTTCAAAGAGTTCGAGAAGTTATGTGACTAGAGAAAAAGTATAAGGTTCTGTCATATCAAATAGGTCCATTTTTAATGCTTAATCTATGCGTACAGAAAGTTTAAGGGAGAAAAATGACTAAGTTGGAGGGAACCTACGTCTTTGGTCCAGCAGAGAGACTACATTTGAGCTATTTGTATCTCTAACTGTTAAAAGGAAGTTGATTAATTCTACTAATATTTGGTAAGCACCTCCCATGAGGTGCCAGGCACTGTGGCCCAGATGGGGAAGAGGGGACGTAGGCCCACCCTCCTGGAGTTATCGCGTTAGACTTTCTAGTTGTTCTCCCCCCTGCTTTGTAAAAAACAAGGTAGTTCATCTGTTGTTCTCTGACCCCATCAGCAGAAGAAACAATATATCGATCGTATTTTTTAAATATTCATGAAAACATTCTTAAGTTCAGTGAAAGTAAGGTAAACTTCAAAAGAATCATAATGATTCATTTTTTTCCTCCTAGAAGATCACAAACAAAATTACATTCTGGTTTGGAATACCAATGTTATACAGATAAGCTCGTGTTAAATGATAAATAACAATGAGGGCATGTAAATCATTGGAGGTTCATTGACATCAATGGCTTTTGCTGTCCTAAGAGAAATACGGACTTCAAATTTTGAGTTCATTTTGGGACCATCTGTTTTGTGCCATCCCACATCACTCTGCAAGTGGTTGAGAACAGTGGGTCAGCCCACACGAGTTTTTATGCCTCTCTCTAACCTGGGTCTTTAATTATTGCCACACCTCAGCTTCCTTGAGTGTATACAGTTACTTAAATATTAGTATATATTCTAAATTTAAATTAGTTTAGCCTTTCATTTCATTTTAAGGGTATGTTTTGTGAGCAAATTATAAAGTATCTCTAATATTTTTAAAAATACAATGTTTGTAAAAATACAGAGCAGTAATACGATTGAGATGGTGTGCTTACTGATATATCGGTATTTTAAGACTTGGGGGTGTTTCTTTCCCATGTAGTTGGTTTACTGGGCATAAGAAATCAGACCAGGCTAACAGCCAAAAAGTGCCTCTTGAATACAGGCTGTTATTGAATTTTATTAATTCAACTGAATTCAATCCCAATATTTGTTGTGGGTGGAAAACGGTTATTTTTAGTCATGTTCTTATCCCTGTTACTGCTAGGGCCTTGCGCAAACTTTATGTCTCAATAACCACCGTTGTCTTTTACAAATAAAACGCATTGAAGTCGGTTAACTGGGCAAGTCAGCAGAGGCTGTGATTGTCCTTCCGCTGCTCTTTTTTGACACTAGAATCTTCTGTTCTTTGATTCTCTTACCATTTTCAATAACTCACCCTAAAAATCAAATATTAGTTGTACTTACTTTTCTAAACAGAGTCATAGTTGTTATAAAGCTATTGCTCTTTTCATGACCATGCTCCCAGTGAAAATGTTTGACAGTTCTACCTGGACCATGCAACATCTTTGCAAGGGCTTTTGTCCTTGTGAAGGAACCAACTGTGGAGGGTTCCAAACAAATCTAGTATTTGTGCGATGAAAATTTATGCTGTCATCAAATTGCTGATTCTCATCCTTTCTTTTAATGTGTACATTTATGTGTTTCAGGAAAAAAGTGCCAGTTCCAATGCAAGACTTAAAACAAATAAAGAGATTCCAGGATTAGTTCATCAACCCAGAGCCAAGTAAGTTCTGGTTTCTATTTTGTTATCTTGTTTTTAAAGCTAAAAATATTTTCAGAGTGAGTTTTATATTGCCTACCAGATAATCAAGACTTGTTATAAAGCTTCAGTAATTGCGACTGGTGTGATTTGGTCTAACAGAAAATAATAGAGGGTCCCAAAACAGACCCAGAGTAGACATTGAAAACCAGTTAGAAGAAAAGAAAGGGGAATATCTTTATGAACACGGGGTAGGGAAAATTTTCGAATAAGTCACAAAAGATGTAGATCGTAAGGAAAATGATTAATTATTATGATCATATTAAAATTGAGAACTTCTGTTTATCGAATATACTGAAAGGGAGAGTAAAAGGCCACAAAGTAATGGAATGGTTTTCAATGCACATAATCGAAAATAGTCGGATTTCCAGAATACATGAAGTAATTCTACAAATCACTAAGTAAGACAGAGAATGCATAGAAAAACAGGCTAAAGACATGAATAACCATTTGACTGAAGAGGAAACATGAATGGCAACTGTATATGAACAAAAGCCAGTTCATGCAACAAGATAAGCAAAAATTTAGAACTCTGACAATACAAAGGGTTGACCAGAATTTGGAACAAAGGCACTCTTAACTCCTGCTGGTGGGAATATACACTGGTACAAATGCTTCGAAAAACAATTTGTATTATCTAGTAAAATTGTCCCTACATAGACCTTCTCCCCAACAAACTTCACTCTCAGATACATATACTAGCGAAACTCTAGGGCATGTGTGCCAGAAGAAATATCATAGCAGCATGGTTTTATGAGCTTTTGAAGCTCTCGAAGGTAAAACACAAGCGTCCCTCAAAAATATAATGGCTAACAAAAATATGGTGCATTCTTATGGTAAAAATACTGCATATTCATGGAAATGAATGCTCTGTAGCTACACATATAAAGATGGAGGAATCTCATGAACATAAGATTGTAAAGTAAGGAGTGGTACCTGCCTCCATGTAGTTTTATTCATATAAAGTTGAAAACTAGGCAGAACTTAGCGATATTACATATATATGTTTGTATATATGTATATGGTAAGGTAATAAAGACAAGCAAGAAAATGAAAAGGCATTAAATTTAGTGTAGTGGTTCTTTCTGATTGAAAGGAAGACGATGGGACCATGGATTCTATTCTTTAACCCATTTCCCATTTAGAAAAAAAAAAAAAGTGCAACTCGCTGCCAGCTTTAACTTAATTTTACATAAACACTCTCTTTGAGGCTGAAGCGAATCTGACTCGTTTTCAATATGAAAACGAAATATGAAAACTGTTCTTGGAGGTATTTCTAAAGAGAACTTGTTGCTAATCCTAATGTAACAGAAATGTATATGATGATCAGCTATTAAATAATTTTTTTCATATGATAAATTCGAAAGCACAGAACAATACAAAGCGGAACATCTAGGATTTGACATTTTCGGCGATCGAGAATTACTGTATTTTGTAAATAGAAATACCACTACTAAAAACAGAATGCTATAAATAGAAAAATGTCATTTATTTCCAAAGACTAACGATATACTACAGCGATGTGAAATAGTAATAAAACGAGATATTTTGTGGCAAACTTTGGGGGTAAGGTTAGGACTATAATCTGTGAGTTATCTCGAGATGAACACGGCATCCACCTCTAGCGAGGATTCTTGAGGCAAACGGGAAATGGATTAATCTGAGTGGTGATTACATGGGTGTCCCTTTAATTATTATTATTTAAACACATGCAAATACCATGTTTTCTTTTCCATGTGTTATGTTTTTCACAATTAAAAAGTTAAAAGAGAATAATGAGTAGTTTTCTAGATTGTTCTAGAACTGAATCTACCTTGGTAATAAACTGAAATGCACTTTATGTGACTTTGAAGCTACCTCTCCTTTCTTCGAAGAGGCTCCGTTATCCTAGAGGCTCCAAGTTGCTTTTGTGATATTCTCTCAAAAGGTGAATAAATTCCCTGGGGGGTCCTGATCATATGAGTACCTTTGAACAGTCACCCCACTCCCTAAATCAATGGGACCATTACGTATATGTAATTGTAGCCCCACGAGTCAAAATCACAATCAGAGGAAGTTGTATTATCTCTGGTTCCTCCCAGGAAATTGAGACAAAAATAACCTAGTTCATAATCCCTTTAACCTGGCCCAGTGCCTGTGGCATTGCTACAGCCATGGCTACCGTGATACAGAGGTCAGGACTCTTCAGGGGGTGGTGCATGAGCTCAAAGATTTCATGTTTTTCATTTCAAAGAAAAGGAGACATTTTAAAATCCGCTTATCATGTGCAATGTCAGTATAATGGTACAACCGGATTTTGTACCCATGGATGAGTAGAACGCTGTGATCGCAGCCTCCTGTGTTCCCTTCACTGGCGTCATCAGCCCTTGGGGATAACAAACATCTGAGGACAGAGTCAATCATCTTTACCTCCAAGCCATTTGATAGGTGTCGTTTTTTTAAGTGTTTCCCTTATCTAGGAGTTCTAAGGAGAGACTGGATTAAGGAGGATTTCTTTTTTCCCTTTAGAGCAAATGGTTATTTAACTTGTTCACACTACAACGGCACGCTTGCAAACTGGCATGGGCTGAAGTTCTTGGAGAAGCTGATTAAATTGGCTCATGTGTTTACATTAAAATTATGAAGAAAATCCTCTGTTTCCCACACAGCAGCATGTTCGTGAGTGTGTGCATATGTGCGTGTGTGTGTGCGTGTGTGTTCTAAACTATGAGTCAGAACATGGGGTTCCTGGAATTCAACTAAGAAACCTTCCTAGAGGGCCAAGAAGAGTTTACTTCTCCCACCTGCTGACATATAGGATCAAGGAGACTCTTAATTATTGTGTATTTGCATCAAATAAAATAATTTCTTTTCTCATGAATGGAAAGACAGTCTTATACCAAATAATGGCAGACTGATTAATAATAAAGGCAGATAATCCTCACTTCTTCATTTGATGCAACACATAGCGCACATTCTTATTGACTTTGTGATCTCAGGCAAGTGACTAATGTCTTTGAGCTTCAGTTTTCTCAGAGAAAAATGGAGGTGAGCAACCCTGTCTTATGGTCTGGAGATTAAATGAAATAACGTGTGCCCAGTGCTTATCACAACATCTGGCGCTTGGTAAGAACCTTAGTAATTAGAAACCACCCAAATGCCCTTTAACAGGAAATTAGGTAAACAAACGACACTATATTCACACAATGGAATATTAAAGTTAATATTAAATGAGTTCATTTAAAGTTAATATTTAAATTAGTTAAAATGAATGTACTGCAGCAATTACAACGCTGGATGGACCTTAGCAAAATAAACCAGAAGAAATGAGCAAGACCTGACTGATGATATAGAGCATGATGCACTCTTACGTTAAGTTAAAAACAACTAAAATAAATCAACAGTTGCGTGGGAGGAAGATAAGGTAGCTCTAGGTTGTTGTCATGGTCATTAGCTCCTAGCAAGGGTGTGTCATAATGTGAGGATTAGAATCAACCCCTCTTCCCTGAGGTCCAGTTGAAAAATAATGGTGATCATGAAGAAATAGCTGTGTTCTGGCCAAGATTTGCCAGGAACCCACTGAGTAATTGAATTTCATCTTTGCAGGTAAACCATTAGGGCATGAAGACCTTGCCTTCTTCATACTCTCGTGGCTTAAGTTTTTATTATCTAGAAGCTTTTTTTTTTAAGTCACTAAACACGAAAGCCATGTATCTTTCAGCTCTAAAGCTCATTTTATCTACCTTACGTTCATTTGCTTGCTTGTCATTAAGATTCCATCGCGTTGTCATCCCTTGTCTCATGAAGCTGAGAAGTTGCAGAAAGAAGACCTTCTGCTGGCTCAGGGTTAAGTCATGAGAGCTTTGCCAGCGCCAGCTGGAGGTCCCAAGAAGTGCACTGGGTTTTCCAAGGTTGAGTCGTTATTTATTAGAGAGAAATAGGAATTACTGAAATCGTTAAGCTTTTTTAGTTACAGCAGGCACCAACATACAGGCTTTTATAAAAGATCTTTGGATCTAATTAATCTTAGCCATCAAGTATTTGTAATTTATATGCAAAATCATAAACAATTCAATCATCCCTTTCTAACATCTTGAAGAAAGATAGAAAGCCAGCGTGCTTTTCTTCTTCCTCACTCCTCACTCACCATCATCAAATTGTGCATCAGAAAGCATTTTAGAACCGAGTCATTACCCAGGGACTGTTTTTCACGGCGCAGTTTATAGTCTCGATTAAAAACTAGTATTAAACCAGTGTTGGTACAGTCTCCACATAAGAAGAGGCCAGACATCCACATTTATCGAGGCAGAAGTCAGTTGATACACGGTAATTTATTTCACCTGAGTAAAAACGTTGTGTCTGTCTCTGTCGGAGAGATTTCGGAGCTTCTCTTCGAGACAGACCCATGGAGAGCAGCCTCATGATCTCAGGTACGTCGTACCTAAGATGACGCACAGGTAACAGAGACCTCGTGCAGGCGTTCGCCCCATCTGGATGTGTCTGCCACTCTTCCAGGACCACTGGAGTTTATCTGATAAGCTCATTTAGTGCATCGGGGTTTGATCATAAATAAGTCAGCCTTCCACGCAGTCTCTCCTGTCTAACACAGTCTACGTACTGTACTTCACGGTGGCAAGATAGCAAACCAGTCCGGTGGGTGACTCTTCTCGGTAGGTTTTTCATTGAGGCAGAGGCAGGCAGGGATGTTCGAACTCTCTGAGACAGAGAAAAATCAGGCAGCGTTTCTGTATCAGAGGAGTGTGATTATAGAGACGTACCTGACTGAAGGCCAGTTGCCTATGTTTGGTTAGAATCGTTTCTCAAAGGGCCCCTGAGAAAATGAAAATGGTCTTTTACTTCCTAATGGTTGTATTCTCTACCCCAGAGTCAGGTAAATATTTAGTTCCAGATTCAGGTGGGGTTGAAAATACACTGGCTTGTCTAATTAATTCTGGGTTGGGTGGCTCTTGTTCAGTTTGCTTTAATCAAGAGATGCTTTTTTTTTTAATGGTTAGGAAAGATGTGGTAAAACTACACAAAACCTAAACCACTGAGGTTTCTGTTCTTGCTTTACCGTATATGCAGCCTGAGCTCGTCACCATCACCTTTGGTCCCAAGCTCCTGATATGGACCTCTGAGCCTGGGCATCCTCGATCACAGGGGTGGCAGACATATTCGCAGAGTCGCTTTTACTTAAGGCTTCCCCTCTTGTTTGTCTGATGTGCGTATGTATGAGTGCTCACCTCACGCCCCTGTTTTCATGCTGCTGCATTTCAGTGAAAGAGTTCATGGAAGCTAGTAACAGTCATAGAATGACTGGGGAAGAGACCTCCGAGACCAGCCCTCCGCTTTTACAGATGGAGAATCAGAGGCTTATACCTCACCCCTGCTAACACACTGTGCTGCCTCTGTGCGGGGTCATGAATCACATAAATTTGCATAGAGATCACTTGGTCAGTTAATTAAACATTTATTGCCCTCCTGTTACATGCAAAGCGATATATGCTAGGAATTCTAACCTACATGTTTCCACGATGAACATCAACTCCTAAAATTGCCATTTTTATGATGTCTTTCGGCATTTTCTAGAAACTAATATATATGTGTGTATATATATAAATATATTCTATAATGATAAGTATAGATAGATAGATCTATAGATATAGATACAGATATACGTACAGACATAGATATAGATGATGATAGAGATAGAGATGATAGAGATAGAGAGAGATAGAGATAGATAGAGAGAGAGAGAGAGAGAGAGAGAGAGAGAGAGAGATAGAGATAGAGATAGAGATAGAGATAGAGATAGAGATAGAGATAGAGATAGAGATAGAGATAGAGATACCTTTCCTGTCTAGGACCCAGAGCTATTCAGCAAACTTATCTACTGAGAGTTTGGCCAAGAACAGGAATGATGCCCCAAAAGCGCCAGAGCAGCCACAGTGGATGCCAGGACATCCGTGTTCTCCGCTCAGGAGAAATCCCCCCAGCTCTCCCTCGGAGCCTGTTTACACATAACTTTAGATATGACTCTCATAAACTTGGCTGTGCTATTTCCACGCATGGAGTAGAAGCAGCAACTGGGAAGGAAACCGAAAGAGGACTCACACCTCCTCTGACAAGAGGAAATGAGAGAAAAGCTCAAAAGCGGGCAAAGAACTAAAGCCTGATAGTTCGGGCCGTTTTGCTTGAGAAGGGCCAGCTCTCCCTGTCTGAGAGGCTCGGGGGCCATCTCAGAACAGTGTTGTGACTGAAGGTCGTGGACGTGGCCACTAGTCGCTAAGTAAAAGCTGAGTCATGTTTGTGAGAGAGCCTCCATAAATGAGTATACAGTTTAGAAGACGTGCAACCAGAGTGGCTCAAATGAAAAATATGTGTGGCTCTTAAAGATGTAAAACCACGAAGAATCTGGGAAAACTCAACTATGCATAAAGGCTTTTCTGTCCAGCCAGAGAAGAGACCGTTTAATATGTTCTCATCATCCCAGATTCTGCCCCGCCCTTCAAACCTGCAATAAGACAGGGCCTGTTTCTGAAACAGGGCATTTACTCTCTTTCAGTGATCATGTAAAAGATGGGCAAAAATTACATGATGTATGTCAAAGTCCTTTATAACCGTGAAAGTTGATTGCTAGTCACATACGTTTGTTTTCCTTTCGCATCGGCGCTGATGCCACTGTGCCCCCAGATTTTAAATCTTGATTTAACACATGAGAAAACCTTGGCCCCCTTGTCTGTCACAGGAGGTCTAAAGGGTTTGGGATCACTTGTGCCACACACTCTCTGGCCCCTAAAGGATGAGGCATAATGCTAAGGGGTATGTCAGGTAGGCTGCTCGCCACATCTGGACTTGAAGAGAAGAAGCTACTCCAGAGCCAGGTCCCTGCTCCACCCACAGCCACTTCAACCAGGAGGCACCGACGGCCAGCAACACAAACGCTGTGTGGTGCGTCTGTCACCCCAGCGTCCCGAACCTCCTTGGAACACCTACTGCTGTTTGCTAGGTAGAAACTATGGTCATTAAAACCAAGGTCCCTTCCTCCCCACAGCCTTTGCGTCTTCTCTGTTCTCCTCACCTTCTAAGTCTCACTCCGTGTGCTGTTATATGGCGCAAGAAAAGCAAACACACAGGACGAGTGCTGCTCAGACCTGCTTCCTGACTTAGTCCCGCATTCTGGTGGAATTTCAGTCCCAGAGAGGTACATTCGCTGTTGCCGATGCAGAAGGTGTTTAGGGCCAATGTCAAGTTCTCAGCTCGTTCGCTGCCAGCCCACACCTATCAGTCAGCTGAACAGCATGCTGATACTGACGACCTTTGTAAACTGCACCTTTCAATATAATAACTAGGATATATATTTTTTTACAGTTACACACCGGGTTGAAATATGGCCTGTGCTGCTTGCCTATGCTGTTTTTAAAATCACAAATGGGTATCTGAAGAAAAAATTTGACATGCACTTCCCAGAAACATCACTGTAAATAACATGTGCTTTGAAAGGAAATTGTATTTCTTAAATCATAAGCCCTGATAAACTATTATGTAATGCATTTGTAAGATTACTGTAATAACATTTATCCCTACTGTAACTTCAGAGTATTTCAGTGGAAAAGTCTGCAATAAAAAAATATCTGCCCGCAAAGTTTACGGACTCGGCATTTTTATTGAGAGAGCTAGGTTTAAGAAAAAAAATGAAATATGCCCTGAACTACTCTTTGTTTTTCAGCATGCACATCTCTGAGAGCCAACAAGAATTCTTCAGAATGCTGGATGAAAAAATCGAAAAGGTAAGAAGTAAAATTAAGTACATGATTCAAGGGAACCATGCTAATTGCCTCATGATTTAAGTAACTATATTCCGGTTTTTGTTACAAAGTTATTAGGGTTTTTTTTCTTTTTTATCCCTTTTCTAAATTTTATTTTATCATAAGTTTCAAGTATACAGAACATCGGTTAGACATTTATATAGTTTATAAAATGATCCCCCTAATTGCTCTTTCTCCCCTCTGGCTCTCCACCTAGCCATGGCAATAATGCTGACTGTGTTCCCTCTGCTGTGCTCCCCATTCCCGCGACCATCTATTAACTACTAATTTGTGCTTCTTTAACCCTTCATCCCTTTCTCCCAGTCCTCCAGCCCCCTCCCCTCTGGCCGTTACAGGATTGTCCTCTATATTTGTGAGTCTGTTTTTTATTAGTTTTTCTTTTTTATTCTTTAGATTCCACAAAGCTATTCTTGTAAGGGGAGTAGAGATTTAAAACAAAAGTACCCCCTACACCAAAAAAAAAATAATGTGGCTCTGAGAATATTTAATGTATATTAGAGCTTCCCAGGACCCTGGGCTATTGCTGATCATTAATTCAAGTGTGTAAAGCCAGATAGAGACTAGTAAGAACATTTGTCTGCATATTATCTGCACTCGATGCCCTGCTCTGACCTCAGACTGCAAGCAAGGAGGCACCTGCCAAAACTTATCAAAGGCCTACTGAATGCCTGACACTGCTCTGGGTTTTTTACAAACATCACTTGGCGTGTTGCGATCAATATCTGCCTCGAGGTCATGGCCGTGAGACATGTATTATCTGCATTTTACAGACAAAGAAACTGAGGCTCAGAATGCCTGAGTGATTTACCCAGGTTTGCCAGACTAATAATAATAATAATTCCCCTTCTCTGTGGCTCCAAAGCAGTCTCGAAGTTGCTTTTCTAGGAATGTGTGGATTTTGCATTAACGGTAAAATACAAAGTTGATCCACGTGGAAATTGAATTTAGGATCTTAGAGTGCCATATGCTAATCAACTGAATGAAGTATGGATTACTGTAACAATTACAGGCTTACATACTTGTAGAATTTCAATTCATCACTGCAGAGGGGTGAGTTTTAACTATTAAAGCTATAAATCTGAGTGTTATCATTTGAAGGCTTTAGTCGGAAAAAAATAAAATCGTAAATTCAGAACATATCACTGGTTAAGGCATCACATTGAAATTTTTTTAATTTTTATGTATTTGTGGTCCTTTTATCTGAGCATTTCTTTATGAATTTCTAAGTTATAGTATATATCACTCAATGGCAGATAATGAAGGAGGTCTTAAATTCATCAGTATTTCAGCAGCAGACCCCACTCTATGGCAGACCCTGTGAAATAATAATTCTATAATCTCCTAATGCACCATTAAAAGACCAGCAGATATCACCAATGTGAAAAATAGAGATGGGTAATGAATTAAAATGATAGTTTGGTCTATAGTACTCCATGACTATGCATACTCATTTAGAAGTGTAATATTTTTATTTTTAGTGAAATTTTGGCTTACGCATGACTTTTTAGAGGGAAAATTTCATCCACGAGTAATTACCAAGTTTCACATATTGGTTCAAAAGCTGTTCAAGTTGCTGATAGCATTTTGTTTTAGTAAAGAGAAGCATAAAAAGAAATATTTTGTTCCCACTGTATTGGTGAAGATCTTTACTTTCTCAGTCAGTTTGTTTAGATTTTTGTTCCTCCGCTAGCTTTTTGGCAATAAAAAGATCTGCTAGTAGTCAGAGGTAGTCTGTAAAAATTGAAACCCGAATCGTAAGTTATCTTTATAAACCCTGACATGGCATTTAAGATGATCTAATGCTTTTCCGGTGTGTTTTCATAAGTGAAATTCTACCTGTTTTTACTCAAAACTGAAATTCGTGGTTCCCGTCAGACACTTGGATTTCCCTTTTTTTTTTTTTTTTTTTTTGCATCCAGAGTGTAGATCATGATGTGTTTCGCACAACAAAAGCAAAGCTTCTAACTTGATCATTTACTAGATGGGAACTTCCCTGGACACAGGAGATTCATAGATTCACATAAACAGTCTTCCTACTATTGAAAACATTTATGTTCTAAGAGCTATTGCTTAATCTGTGACATGCACCCAGTTACAGATTTCTAGAGGAATTTTCTCTCCTCTCAGAACCAAACTTTTCTGCTTCTCTGAAGTTCATCCTTCTGAATATTGTGAATATTCTATCCTGTGTATCACTTAAACATTGATCCTCCAAAAATTAAAATGTTCCTTCTTAATATATGTGTTTGGCTTGATGTTATCTTCACCACAGTTTATATAACCAAAATTAGAAGTCGGAGTCTTACAAATTATTTTCCTGATTTTTTACCATTGCTAAACATTTCTTTGGTCCGAGCTATCACGAGGACAACTGTAAACGTAACTCAGATCTATTCTTTAGGTTTTATGGTTGATTTA